AACTCCCCGCTCCCAAATTTTAAGGGAGCTGGTTGACGAAATTACTGACATTCAATTTTGGTGCGATGTTAGAAAAAAATTTGAACATTCTTTTTTTAGCAATTATACGTAACTTCACACCAAACAAAACAACCAATCATTTTTTCCAAAAAAATTAAAGGTTTGGAAATTTTTTTAATTAAAAGTAGTTATTACATTATGCAAAATTATTTTCTGTTTTTATTTTTAAAACAAATTTACTTTAAGTAATTTAAAAATAATAAAAAAAGGACGTTTTTTTTGCCCGAGTAATAAAAAACCAACCAAAATTTTTTAGTATAAATTTCTTATATAATTGCTAAAAATTTTTTTGTCGATATTAAACGCTGATTATTCTGAACCGTTCTAGTTGTAATTGTCAAACTCATAATAATATAAATAACATGTCCTATATCAATAAACCCGGAAAACATAGTGCGTGGCGTAAGCATGTAGTAAATAACCTAGTAGCAGACGCTATTTTGTATGAAAAAATTACCACTAGTTTGCCACACGCTAAATCCCTGACTAAACTACTAGCTAAACTTATTGGCTGAGCCAAAACGGACAATTTACATGCCCGGCGAATGGCTTTGCGTTATTTAGTTAACAAAAAATCCTCCGGCGTTATGAATAAATTATTTACCAAGCTAAAAGAGCGTTATCAAAATCGACCGGGTGGTTATAGCCGAATTACTAAATTAAATTATCGTTTGGGTGATAACAATTTACGAGTAATTTTTAGTTTAGTCTAAAAAAAAATCTGTTAAGTTATTCAAAGGCAAAAACTTTTTTAGAGAGTTTAAGATTTCTTCTCTCTCTCTCTCTCTCTCTCTTGGCTTTTCTAAATGAGTAAGCCAAATAGGAGACGACGAGCACCAATAACAAAACAAGAACTACCAGGAGAGCAATTGCTCCGTAAACTCAACGTGGTGTTTCGTATTTAATTTCGGTGGTTAGGATTGGATTTTCAACCAGGGCTTTTAGTCGGCTAATTTCTTCGGCTGATTCGAGCGGAATATCGGCTTTTGGAGCCTCAGGCTCAATAGCACCCTGGTTAACTTGGTCCACAACCTCTGGCAAAAATTCATTTACTGCTTGCTCTTCCATTCAATTTTTCATTTCTTCACCTTCCATAACTGCGGTCACCTGTAAGCCGAATAATTTTTCTTCAATTGCTTCTAATCGGTTTTTTACTTGGTCTTGCCAAACTTCTACCGCATTTTTTTGGTAAACTCCTTGGTTAGGCCAGCCGTCAATTTTTTTAGCCGTTCGGTTTAATTCCTCCCAATCTTCACTATTGCTAATTAACTCGTCGGCTTGGTTTAATATTTCTCGTAATTGTTGAAAGGCCTGATAATATTTTTCTAGTCCTTGGACGGCTTCTTGGATGGCTAATTGATTTTCTGGTTTACTCCAAACCTCTTTCTGATTAATGCCATTCTCGTCGCTCGCAAATTGTTCGGGGACTAATGCTTGTTGGAGAGTTTTAATTCGAGAAGGGTCACTAATAACTACGGACTTTTGGGTTAGTAAATTGTTAAGTTGCTGTTGCCAGTAGGCAGTTTCGGCTTCTTGTTTTTTAGCCGCAATTTTGGTGTTAATTTCCTGGCGTCGCTTAGTAATCCTTTGTTCCCGGTGCTCCCAATTTTGCACGACCACTTCGTCATTAGCAAGTTGCGGGCTTTGTTGCCAAAGACCTAACTCGTAGTTAATTCGCTCTAACTCTTGCCAATCTTCGCTATCTTTTTTTAGTAATTGGTCTAAGGTTTGGTAACTTTCCAAAATACAAGAGAGAAAAATTTGATTAATTTCAATCTCTTTCTGCCGCTGTCTTCAGACTTTTTGCTGAATAGCGTTAGCAAAAGTCTTTCGTTTTAATTCTTCAATTAACCTTGCGGTTCCCTCCGGAGATTGAGTGGCTTGTTCTAAATTTTCCCGGTCGAGTAATTTTTGTAAGTTGATTTCTTCGTTAATTTCATAAACTAAGTCCGCAATTTGTTGGGAGTTATTTTGGTATTCTCGAGCATTAACTTCGCAAGGATTAGTGGTGTTTTGTCAAGCGGTTAACTGTTTCAACCACCCGGCCAAATCGGCTGACCGCTGCTGAGATTGCACAGCTAACGCGGCTTGTTTCAGTAAATTTTCTAAATTCTGAAAAGCCATTCAATAATTAGTCATTTCGCGGCGGGTGTTTAGTCAAACTTGCTGGTTTTCTTCGCTAGTTCATTCGTGGTTGGCGTAAGTATTTAATTTTTTCACCCACTTGGCACAAGTTTGGGGGTTTTGTCAAGGTCTTTGTCGAGAAAGTTCACATTCGGTTTTTAAGCGGATAATAAATTCTTGCTCTTCTTCCAAATAAGACTGAATTTTTTCTTCTAACTTACGTTGCCGTCTTTCCACGTAATAACTATTTTGGGGGTTAGTTAGTAGCCGTAAACTAAATCGGTCTCTTGTTTGGCTTTCTTCACCGTGTAAATAATTGTTAATTCGGCTTTGTAACAATCTTAATTCGCTCCATGTGGCTGAATCATCATTTAAATTATCGACTTCGGCCATTCGCTCTAATAATCGGCAGATTTGACCGCAAATTAGAGAGCGGTCGGTCAAGAAAATATTAATATCCTGCTGCTGGGGTGTTTCTTCTCCAACAATTATTTGTTGATAATCTAAATATTGGAGTTCTGCTGAATAGTTTCAACGCAAAAAGGAGTTGCTGATTTTTCAGGGCCACTCTTGCGGATTATCACCTCATCTTCAATTTGTATAATTAATAATTAATTCTTTTTTGCGGGCGGCTAATTCGTCCAAGGCACGGCTCAGACGGGCATAAGTGGTTTGGTCACGTAAATCTTGGAGGCTGGCCTGGTTAAGAAGTTGTTCTCAGTCCTCAACTTCTAACCAGTGGCTAAATTCTGAGTCACGAATGAAAACTATTTCTTGGTTAATTTTTTCCCATTGGGCGAAAATTTTCCGGCGACCAGTGGTTAGTAATTGGTCGGCTAATAATTGTTGAACCCGGGTCAGATACACGTTTATTTTTAACTCAGAGGCTAACCGTGGTGTCGTTGGGTCGTTTTCCTGCTCGCAAAGGTCTTGTCAGGCAGCTTGTAATTCGTCGATTATTTTTTCTAACTCCTCGGAGTTAGTGTTTTGAGTAGCACTTTGGGCTTGGTTGAGAAAAAACAACAACTTTCTTTTGTGGTGGAGATAATTAGTAAAATCCCCAAACTCACGAAGGGCACTGTTATTTAACCTTAACAATTCGGTTACACTGTTAGCCTGTTCTGCTTTGCCTGACAAAAAATTGTAAACTCCGAGCGGAAGCACGCTTTGGAGTAAAAGCAGGTTATTTTTTACTTCGGCGAAAGCGTGCTCAAAAATAACCTTCTGAGCCTGGTCGGTAGTCTCCTCAATTTGGGATATTGTGGATTGTCGGGATAAAGTTGGGGGGTCAAGGCTAGTTATTTCTAAGTCAGGGTTAATCATTCGCAGTTTTTCTAAATTGTCATTAATTGTTTTTAAGGAGATTTGGCGGGCGAGGGCTAATTCACGGTCATGGGCTTGTCGGTGTGAGCGGCAGTTTCAACGCAAGAAAAATACTTTTTCTCGGAAGGTTTTGATGATTTGGCCGGTCGAGTTGGCTTCCATAATGGCGTGTTTAGATTGGTCCAGAAAGGATGGTTTGTGTTCTCATTCCTCGTCAAACATAATTCCTTGGCTTAATTGGTCTCAGGCATAACCGGCTTCTTGCTGTAAGAAGAATAGAACAGTATTTTCGGGCCGGTTAGTAGTCCAACCCGTAAAATGTTCGTCACGGGCTTCTTGGTTGCGCACCTTGCTAACTATGGTCTGAACGTAATTTTCAAGACCTTGTGCATTATAAGAAGCAAAGTAATAATCCTTGGCTAACAAGGGGAAAATTTTTCGTTCGATTTGCGTTTTTTTGCCAGCCGTAAGTTGGCCAATCTCTTGGTAAAAATGAAAAATAGCATGGATAATTTGTTGGGCTGCCTCGCGACATAAGGCTAGTTCGATATTAGTGCGAAGAAATTGGAGGAGGGAGAAGCGAGAGGAGAAAAAAACTAAGGCTCAGTTGGTGTTGGTGGCTAACTCCCGGTGTAAATATTTGTGGGCGAGAAGATGGTGGTAGTGGCCAATTTGGCTGGTTTGTAAATACTGAATTAATTGAATTATTTCTTCCCCATTGGGGTTGTAGTTTTTCCAGTATTCAATTCGCTCGGGGTTTTCTAAAACCTGGGAAAATTGGTCGAGATGTAGACAACATTTTCTCCCTAATTCTTGGATATTTCTCCCTAATTCTTGGATATTTCTCCCTAATTCTTGGCTCTCCGAAGTTTGTTGGAGATTAGCTATATCTCCAACTATTTTGTGGTAAAAATCGAAAAATTCTTGGTTAATCTTATCGGAACTGGGAGCGAAAATGCCGAACGGCACGTAGGAGAGGATTTTTTCTCTTGGCATGGCGGTAATTTTTATGTCTTATTATACGTTATATGTTTTTAAATTTTTTATAAAATTTGATACTAGCGCTATTAGTATTAATTTTATAATTGTAACTTACTTTACATTATTAATTTTATTGGAATAAAATTATTTTCTATTTGCTATTATAGTTATTTTTTTCCAGGGCGAGGGTATTCGGGGTGCCGGTTAGCGAGCAACTACCATCAATATTTTTAGGAAAAGCAATTAATTCTTTGAGGCTGTTAGTTTGGAGAATTATAGACAATAAACGGTCAATACCGAGGCCAATGCCTCCGTGGGGCGGAGCCGCAAATTCTAAGGCTTGTAAAAAGTAGCCAAAATTTTTCTCCCTTTCTTGGGGTCCATAACCTAGTATTTCTAACATTTTTTCTTGCAATGGTCGTTGATAAATACGGAGACCACCACTCAGTATTTCTTCTCCATTGCATACCAAGTCAAGTGCTTCACCCATGACTTTTTCCGGGTTGATTTTGCCGTTCAGTAGGAGTTTAATATACTTTTTTTTCGGTAAAGTAAAAGGGTGACGGGCCGCTTCATATTTTTCAATTTCCTTGTTATATTTGAAAAGCGGCCAATCGGTTATTCAAACAAAGTTTAATTCCTGGGGGTTGTTAGTAGTGCGTAAATCTGGTTTATCAGTTTGGTATTTTTCTTGGACTTCCTGGTAAGTTAAAGCAGCAAAAGAGGTTTTTAATTGGTAGTTAAAAACTTTTTTAAGAGTAAATCGCAGGAGTTTTTCAATAATTCGCTTAATTTGGGTTAAGGAGACAAAACTTAATTCTAAGTCCAGTTGCGAAAACTCGATTTGACGATTGCTGCGGGCTCCTTCATTACGAAAACTTTTGCCAATTTGGTAATATTTAGCAAATCCCCCCATCATTAACAACTGCTTAAAGATTTGGGGTGATTGAGGCAGAGTGTAATAGCGGTTTTTCAGATTAGCAGGAACTACAAAACAGTTAGCACCTTCGGGCGAGCTCTGGGCTAAAATAGGAGTTTCCAGGTCAACAAAACCTTGCTGGTGAAGAAAATTCCGAGCGGCCTGGCAAAACTGGCTTTTGAGGAGCAAAAGCCTTTTGCTACGAGGCCGCCGCAAATCCAAATAACGATAACGATAACGAGTATCTTCGTTAATATTGGTCGCATCAGCAATTTCAAAAGGTAGTTCTTTACTCGAATTAATTAATTGATATTTTTCTAGTTCAACTTCTACCTTTTTTCCCGCTCCGATTTTTTCCCGCACCGTGCCTCAGAATTTTAATAAATCTCCTTTTTTAACTGCTTTTAGTTCCTTGATTAATGTGCTTTTTTTAATTACTGCTTGAATATAATCACTACCGTCTTGACAGACCAGAAACAATAAATCATCACCCAAGCGACGAATAGTGTTAATTCAAGCAAAAAAAATAACTTTTTTACCGATTTTTTCCCAGTTTAGTTGTGAAAACTTATAAATACGGGACATTTAAGAGACTTGTTATATACCTTTTACTACTTCCCAACGAACAAAACAGAAAGAAATTCCTAAGAAAAATTCGCTTACCAATTACTTACATTGCAAAAAATAACCATCCTTTTCTTTCAGAAAATCCATTGCTTCATCAAGACTAAAAAATTCGTGGTAATCCTCATCTTGGTTAAGGTAAAAGGTTAAGTCGTCGCAGAGGTTTTCGTTCCGAGCCGAGTTATGATTTTTTTTAATTACAATTCAAGGGTCATCTTTTAGGAAATTAGCCAAGTTTGTTTTAGGCGTGGTAAAAATAATGGACTGCTTTCCCTCAGTTCACGTTTTATTAAAACTGGTTTGCTTACTTAAATATTCAATCAGAGAATTTTTCATGTCTAGCGACGAAAAGTTTTTCTTGTCTCATCCCTCTTTTAATTCTTCTCGCAAACGAATAACCAATCATTCTTGCAATTTTTCCCGTTCTACTAAGGGATTGCGGGCAAATTTGTTGAGTAATCTTTCTTTTTCTAGTTGGGCTTGGAATTTTTGTATTTCCCAGCCATTGTTAATGGTAGTTCTGCCATTAATCGCTACTAAAAAAGTCAAAATAATTAGGCCAACATTAACGTAGTTGGCAAATCATTTCTTCTGCTTATCCTGTGTTTCTAAATCCATACAACTTCCTTCTAAAAGCTTTTATTCCAGGATTTCGGTAATAACTCCACTTCCAACGGTAATTCCGCCTTCGCGCATAGCAAAATTATCATTTTTTCTGATAACTACTGGTTCAATTAAGTCGACCTCGAATTCGATGTCACTGCCCGGTTCTACTTTTTTCTCGGATGGCAATTTCACTGTTCCAGTTATATTGATTGTAGCAGTAAAAAATTGGGGACGATAGCCGTCTTCAAAACTAGTATGGCGACCTCTTTCTTCCTTACTCAAAATATAAGCGTGAGCCTTGAATTTTTTATGCGGAGTAACGGTGCCAGGAGCTGCTAGAGCTTGACCTTTTCTAACTTCTTCAAGTTTAATATCCCGCAAGCAAACTCCAATAGTATCACCGGGTTTGGCTTCTTCCATTTCTTTCTGAAACATTTCTATTCCTTTAACCACTGACTTCTTTTTAGGCCCCAATCCCACTATTTCCACTTCATCACCTTTTCTTAATTTCCCCTGCAAAGGATTACCAGTAACCACTGTTCCCGAGCCGGTAATACTAAACACATCTTCGATATACATTAAAAAAGGTTTGCTCTCGTCTCTTTCGGGAATAGTTATATGATTATCAACCACTTCTAAAAGTTGCAAAATTTTAATTTCCTCGTTAGTGTCACCTTTTAAGGCTTTCAGAGCTGAAGCAACGATTATCGGAGTTTTTTCTTCGCCTTCTTTATCGTAGCCATAGGTTTCTAAATCGCTTCGAATGTCAGCTTCCAACAAAGCCTTGGTTTCTTCGTCCAATCCCTCGCTAGTTTTATCGTTAATAAAAACCACAACTCTTTCTATACCGATGGTTCGGGCTAAAAGCAAGTGTTCTTTGGTTTGAGTCATGCTACCATCAGCCGAAGAAACCACTACAATTACTCCGTCCATTTGGGCAGCCCCCGTAATCGTATTTTTAATATAATCGGCGTGTCCCGGGCAATCAATCATGCCATAATGTCGACCTTCCTGTAAGTTAAAACTGTGTTCATCTACTTCTTCGCCTAGAACCATTTTTCGGTAATAATTTTCGAGCCCAGAAACAGTTTCGAATTCGATATGAGTAGTGCTAATAGTTATTCCTCGTTTTTTTTCTTCGGGTGCCTTATCAATATCACCATAGTCTTTGAATTTGGCAAGTCGTATTCTGGAAAGTGCTTTCGTGATTGCAGCTGTCAGCGTGGTTTTACCATGGTCAACGTGACCCATTGTCCCAATATTTACATGAGGGAACGAACTATTGTATTTTTCTTTAACTTTTTTTTCTGCCATATTTTATTATTTATTATTTTTACCTCATTTTGCTTGCCAAAGGTCTTGGGTGTGGTTGGGACTGGGGAATAGTCTTGTAGCCTGTGTAGTTTGTTAGGTCCTCCAGGAAAATTTTTTGGCTGTTGTTTTGGCTTAACCACATATTAAAAGTGTTACAATGCCAAAAGCAAGTAGCAGCATTTTTATTTAGGCACTAATATACAATTTTACCCTAATCATCTTCTTCCTTTTCTTTTTTTCAACTTTTAGGGGGAGGAACACTCACTAAGGATTCAAATATTTTATCTAGGGCTTTTTCTTTTAATGAAGATTTTGTTTTAGTAGATTTTAAGGCTTTTTTCATTTGTTTGAAATCAATAGTAAAAGAAATAATATTTTCCTTATTGCATTCCGAACAATGAACTAATTTTCTAAATGTAAAACTTTTTTCAGAACCGAAACTCATTCGAATATTTCTATAATCTGTTCTACGCCCTTCTCGACGAAAAAGTTCCATTATATTCTCTTCCTCTTGCTTCGTTAATTTTTTCACCATGGATATTTATTTTTAATTTTTGGTATAGCAAAACACAATCTCGATAAATTATTAATATGGTAAACAATGAGAGAGAGAGAGAGAGAGAGAGACAAAAATACTCGCTTAAAGACTTTGAGGACGAAGTTAAGGACCTCCATCCATTTTTCACCAATTACTTCCCAAGTATTTTTCCTGGCTTAATCTTTTTAAAAGATGAATGAGTAATACCCAAAACCAAATGCTTTAAAAGTGAAGGAGACAGAGCCGATACTTTGGCTTTTTTTTCTGATGAAAAAGGAAAATTGAGACATCTGGCTCTTATAGAATACAAGTGAGGAGAAGCCAAAAAAAATAACAACCCCGTAAACCAAATAAAGATTAATTGGTGAGTTTTGGAAAATAGTAATGGTTATGAGGTATGAAAAGTATACAGAAAACGCTTAAAAAAAGAAGAAAAAGAGGACGATGACTTTGAAGTTGTTGGGAAAGACCTGCGTAATAGACTTTGAGACAAACCCATTCTTGTATGTGTGGCTAATTTTGGCTATTTTGGAGAATGGCACAAAAAGGAAGCAGAAAAAGAGAAAATTATTTTAGTTGAAGTTCAGAAATATGAGGACAGTGAAGGAAATCGTTGTGTCTTGATTTGAGTTGTCAAAGGAGACGGAAAAAGATTAGGAATTGACCCAAACAAAGCAATTATTCAAATTCCCAAAGAAACACCAGAGGAAAAAAAATTAATACTCGCCCAAAACATAGAGGACTTTTTAGAAGAATTAGAAACTGGAAAATGAAATGATGAAATAAGGGAAATTAATAATCTAATTAACGATTTGTTTGAAAATACAATAGAAGGAAAAGCCAAATGAGAAAATGAAAAATATTCAAACAAATACTTTGTTTATATAGAGTATACAAAAAAAGTAAAGAAAGAACTATTGATAGTTAAAGTTTCCAAAAAAAGAGAGAAACTAAAAATATATGTGCGTGAGAATGAATTAACAGCCAATTGAAGTGATGTTCGCGATAGCGAGGAATTACCAGAAAACATTCGTCGTTGTTTGGAGATAAAGAAAGAAAGTTATCAAAACTCTTTTGAAAAAATAAAGGAATATTTGGAGTTAATTAAGAACGAATTATAATTTCCCAAATTTATCTTTTTAATTCGGCTAAACAATTATCGCAGAGTATTCAAACATAATCTCGAGCTACACCTAATGGGATTACTTTTCCGACTGTGTTGATTTCATTAGTGGGATTGCCACATGCATCACAAATGCCATTATCTTCATAACGCCCAAGAAATTCTCATTCTCCTGATAATTCACTTTTTATTTGATTTATAGACATTACAATTTTGTTTATTTAATTAGTTCTTGGTAAGTCAAACTTTTATCTATTGTTGAGGAGAGCAATAAGTCAAACTTATCTTGTTCGCTGTATTTTCTCGCGTTATAACGAAAAGTAAATTCATCGATGTATTTCTGTGCATGTTTCTTACTTATTCGATAATAAGTTCCGACAATAAGTCTTTTGAGATGAGAGTTAAAGTTTTCAACCGAATTAACTGAAACCTTTCCATTAGCATATTGTCTTTTTCTGTGATTAACCATTTGATGATTAAAAATTTGAGATAGATTGCTATTTCGGTATCATTCATCAGTATAGACATTTGAACTCTCTTTGACATTGGCTTTAATTATTGGTAATAGAGTTCTTAATTGAGTGTTGGGAACTACTTGGGCAATTGCCTTGCCTCCTTTTTTTATCA